TGCCAGAACTCCACAGCATTCAATTTCATTGGCAGCATTCAATTCCCTTTTTTCACTTTATGATCACCTAAATTTATTCTATATATAACTCTATGATTTGAATATCTAACACCAGTTATATGATAGCAAATTGCCAATCAAATGAATGATCTAAATATACACCAATGTCAAATAAATTTTAAATGATAATTTAATTTTTATAAATATATATGATGAATATGCAGCATGAAAATTAATTCCAATGTAAATAAAACAAATGTGATATCTTCCTGCATAGCTGCAATTTAAAATAACTGGAGTAGTTATATTTATATTAATACATAAGTTTCAAAAATTCTTTCAAAGCTATTATATATTTTTTCATAATTTTGCAGTGTTATGAAATAGAACCTCAGCACATTTATTGCTTAATAAATTCAAATTACCAATAGTGATATCTACTTGACATGTATTACAGTGCATATTTTAAATCTCATATGTTTTTAGCATCTATGCAAAAGATCTTATATTGTAGCACCTTTTGGGATAAAATGTATTTGAAGACTCTATTAGATAAGAAACCAATTTTTCAACCAGATGATGATTTTGTTATTATAATATGTGTCATCTCTTATTGTTAAAAGATATCTCCCCAGTGGTCACTGGGTTACTTTTAATTATCTTTGGTTCTTCTCTTGCATCATTTTCAAATGTAATATGAACTCAGACTGTGGTAGTCTTTTTAATATTGCATATACAGTAGCATGAGAACAGATGCTAAAAATAAATCTAATAATGATCATAATTTCTCAACTAGTCAGATAAACTGATCTGATTCCATAATAGAGTTGGCATAGTGTGCTGTATTTTCTACACAAAATGGAGAATATGAGAGAAGGTTTCTTTTCTAACATCATAACTACAGAGTTACATTTTATATTCCCTTTGGTAATATGGCTCTACAACGTTTACTTTTATATGTGTCATTTATGAGCATAATGCTTTCATCCAATTATTGTCCTAATATCGTTCTTGTAAGTTACATGCAATCATGCTAAAAACCTTATTGCATGGTTGCTAGTGCTTACCAGAGGTCAACATTAGCACTGAGATATTAGTGATTTAAAAACATGTTCGTTGGTGCTCTTTTACCAGTTGGCAGAGTAGTTATCATTTGGGCTTAGTGGAATTTAATTGAATTTCACAAATGGTCTAAAATTCAGGACTTAAAATCATTCTTTGTAATTAGGAGTCCATAGGAGAAGTTTGTATGCATATCACTGATTTAAGTAGATACAAGTTCAAGACTATTTTTTTAAAATTTATTGATAACAAGCATTTCATAATACATAAAATAAATATTTATGTTATAATCCTGTATGGCATTGTCAGACTTTCCCAGCTCTTTGCCTTGAGCCTGATTTCTGGCCATTTTCTTACATTTCTACATGCTCTGAAACTCTAAATCTGTTTTGCCCCAGTAATTAGTTCTGCTATTTTTATCTTGGAACATGCCATTTCCAACTATTGAAAAACTATGCACACTAAAATCATCTTTTTTCACTATGGCATAACTACTATAATTGTTCTAAAGCCTTGCCATTCTTAAAATTTCCATTCCTCGATCATCTACTTCTGGAAACTTTTCATATTTACTAGTAGACCCCAGGTATGGAACTTTTACTCCTTTTATAATTCTGTTACATATATTTTTCCTTAATTACCTTGTTCTTTGACTCTTAAATACCAAACTTCAAATATTGATATAATTGTTGAATATAATGATAGAATATATTATAAAAGTTCAAAATTTGGAGGTTAGTAGATATTATTTCCTATATTACTTATGTAAAATCTACTTAAAATTGCCTTAAAATTATAAATTTCTTATTTCTTTTATTGCTAGTTTATCCACTTTTTGAATTCATATGCTTCATTAAAAAGATGAGATAATTTGTAGCAACATGAATGGAGCTAGAGGATATATTTGAGATATATCAAATGAAGACAGACAAATGTCATATTTTCACTCATAGTTTCACTGGAAACTCATAGGTTCATTGTCATAGTTTCACTGGAAACTAAAAACTGATTGAACATAAATAGAGTAGAACGGAGTTCACTAGAAGCTAGGAAGGACAGGAGGAAGGGTTAACATTGAGAGGGTAAAAAATAAATACAAAAATACAGGTGGGAGTACCTTTTTATCTGACATCCTTGTTAGCATTTATTATCATCCTTATTCTTGTAAGCAAGAGTAGAATGAGATGAAATCTCAGGGTGAGAGAAAGAAGAGGGACTAGAGAATGAAATGAAGTAGGCTGAACTGCATGTATGTATGACTATTTCAAAGTGAACCTAAGTATTATGCAAAACTACATACACTAATAAAAAAAGTTTACAAAAAAAACAATTAGGAATAATCCTAAAGTTATATAGCACAAAATCATAATGACAGTCTACAACAAGTATACATTTCAAAATAACTAGGTGATAAGAGTGTGAAGGTTTTCAAAACATGAAAATGTCAATATTTGGTCAGATAGAAATGATAACTACCCCAATTTCATCGTTACACATTTTATATATATTTCATCCAATAAAAATGAGATGAGTACTCTAAATTCTTGGTCAAATAAAAAAAGTAAATGAATGATCAATAGTAAGGGATCAATTTTTTCAATTTTTTCACTATATTTGACTTTGCTCAACAATTTATTTAAAGCTATATTTTAGTGAGTATTTATAATGTTTAAAATATAGGCTTGGATGCTTATGTGCAATTTTCCTTGAGTCATTTCAACAATATTTTATGCATATGTACTATGCATATTCTAAAAGAGACATTTATAGGATTAAAATGTATAGAAAAACCAAATATATGTAGCAAGTTAATAGAAATATAACCAAAATATCACAACCTAAATGTAGCATTTCATTTAAAGATAGGTGATAAGATAATAACAATGGTAATTGAAAACAAAATAGAAATTTGCAAAAATAGCAAATTAAGAGCTGGGGATGTGGCTCAAGCGGTAGTGAGCTCGCCTGGCATGCGTGTGGCCTGGGTTCAATCCTCATCACCACATACAAAAAAAGATGTTGTGTCCGCCGAAAACTAAGAAAAATAATAAATATTAAAAAAATTCTCTCTCTCTCTCTCTCTCTCTCTCTCTCTCTCTCTCTCTCTCTCCCTTTAAAAAAATAGCAAATTAAAAAATTTCTACTTTTTAATTTTTTTTTATTCTAATGTGTTATATATGGCAGCAGAATGAATTACAATTTATATTACACATGAGGAGCACAATTTTTTTATATCTCTAGTTATATACAAAGTATATTCACACCATTCGTGTCTTCATACTTGTATTTAGGATAATTATGTCCATCTCATTCCACCATCTTTTCTACCCCCCTCCCCCCTCCCTTCCCCTCCCACCCCATTGCCCTATCTAAACTTCATCTAATACCCCCATGCTCCCCCTCCCAACCCCCTTATGAATCAATGTTTTTATATCAGAGAAAACATTCAACTTATTGTTTTCTGGGATTAACTAACTTCACTTAGCATTATATTCTCCAACTCCATCCATTTACCTTCAAATGTCATGATCTTATTTGCTTTTATTGCCTAATAATATTCCATTGTGTATATATGCCACATTTTTTAATCCATTCATCTACTGAAGGGTATCTAGGTTGGTTCCACAGTTTAGCTATCGTGAATTGTTCTGTTATAGATATTGATGTGGCTGTGTCCCTGTCGTATGCTGTTTTTAAGTCCTTTGGGTATAGACTGAGGAGTGGAATAGCTGGGTCAAATGGTGGTTCCATTTTCCAATTTTCCAATAAATCTCCATACTGCTTTCCACCATTTTGCAGTCCCACCAGCAATGTATGAGTGTGCCTTTTCCCCTACATCCTTTCCAACACTTTTTGTTGTTTGTAATCTTAATAGCTGTATTTCTGATTGGAGTGAGATGAAATCTTATAGTATTTTTCACTTGAATTTCTCGAATTAATAGAGATGTTGAACATTTTTTCATATATTGGTTGATTGAGTATATATATCACTTTCTGAGAAGTGTCTGTTCAGTCCCTTGGCTCATATATTGATTGGGATATTTGTTTTTTGGTGTTAAGCTTTTTGAGTTTTTATATTCCCTAGAGATTGGTGCTCTCTCTAATGTGCACACGGTAAAAATTTTCTTTCAAAATGTGGGCTCTCTATTCACCTCACCGATTGTTTCTTTTTTATTTCTGAAAACAAGTTTTATTTAAATAAGGGTTTAAATACGTTACATAACATTAAAACTGGAAGCGGAAAAGAAAACCAAAAAGCAGTTTATCACTTCACATGGCACTGGGCAGCTGTTGCTAGTGAGCTGCAGGCTCTACAGCTAGTTACAGGACTGATAACATCAGTTTGGAATTCGTTCCTTGTCAGAAGTTTAACTGGCCTCACATTCTGTTGTTTGGGGCACCCCTTAGCTAGAATATGTCTGGTCAAAAAGAAGACCTTGGTGGCAAGCCAGATGTCACATCACCTCACTGGAAGGAAGGTGGCCTCTGAGTTCTGCCCACCTGGTCAGGTTAGACACCAGGGATTCTTTTTAAAAAACAAAATGAAACAACCCCCTCCCAAAAATCAAACAAATAAACAAACAAACAAAAAACTACCAAAGGCTCCCTTCTAGTGGTACAGCTGCCTTACCCCATTCCTCCTGATCAGGTCATGACACTCTTAGGGCAGGGGCCTCAGCTGAGGGAGAGTTGAGAAGCTTTTGGTCAGACACAGCCATCTGATCTTGGGGCTCTGGGCTTTGCTGAAACATCATGTTATTGCTTTGTTTCAGGGTGGACACTGCCAGGCACCTACTTCTTGACCTCTGTTTAAATGAGGGACTTCAAGACTAGACAGCATAGCTCTTTTCAGTTTATTGCATGAAGGAGTTACACTAGTCCAAGTTAAAAGTGGACCTCAAATGGTTACATTATACATACAAGCTTTGAGGTTTTAAACTTGTGGCAAGGGACAGAAGGGAAATTCTACTCATTACAAGGAAATCCTCACTTGAGCTTCAGTGAGCCACAAGCACTTAAAACCCATGAACCTTCAGCTGATCGTCCTTAGACAGTTCAATCTCTACCAGGAACTGGCATATGTTCTTGTGCTGGTTACCCTGTATCTGAATTACTTCTCCATATTCTGGATGCTCAATTACAGTACCATTGCAGGCAGATTTCTTCTTAAACACCTTCACTAGTTTCTTTTTATCGTAATCATCAGCGATCCCTTGGACAGTAGTAAGGGTCTTCCTGCCGTTTCTCTGTTGAATTCTTATATGAATATAATCTTCAGTGCCAGCAGGAAGCAGGTCATCACCCTTACTGGCATCAGCAAAGGGGTCAAAAGAGTGGAGGTTCTGGATAGCGGACATACCATAGGATTCCTTTTCCTCAGTGGAAACTGCCTGCGGAAGGCAGCTGCAGGAGAAGGCAGGCAGAGGGGATGGAGCATCAGGAAGCTAGGAGGCTCGAGGGGGAGGCTGTTGAGTCCTCGGCAGCGGCTTAGTGACTCCACTGATTGTTTCTTTTGCTGAGAAGAAGCTTTTTAGTTTGAATCTATCCCATTTATTAATTTTGATTTTATTTCTTGACCTATAGAAGTCTTATTAAGGAAGCAGGGGCTTAATCCAATATGATGGAGATTTGGGCCTACTGTCTCTGGTTTAATTTCTATGTCCTCTATCTACTTTGAGTTGAATTTTGTGCATGTTGAGAGATAGAGATTTAGTTTCATTTTGTTGCATGTGGATTTCCAGGCTTCTCAGCGCTATTTGTTGAAGAGGCTATCTTTTCTCCACTGTAGATTTTTGGCACATTTATGTAATATAAGATAATTGTAATTATGTGGGTTAGTCTCTGTGTTCTCTATTCGGTATCATTGGTCTATCAGTCTATTTTGGTGCTGATACCATGCTGTTTTTGTTACTATTGCTCTGTAGTAAAGTTTAAGTTCTGGTATAGTGATGCCACCTGCTTCACTTTTCTTGCTAAAAATTACTCTAACTCTTCTGGGTTCTCTTATTTTTCCAGATGAATTTCATGACTTTTTTTTCTATTCCTATGAAAAATATCATTGGTATTTTGATTGTAATTGCATTAAATCTGTATAATGCTTTTGGTATTATGGTCATTTTGACAATATTAATTCTGTCTATCCAAGACCAAAAAAAAAAAAAAAGTTCCATCTTCTAAGCTCTTTTGTTTACTTTCTTTCTTTAGTGATCTGTATTTTTCATTCTTTTTTTTTTTTTTTTTTTTTTTTTTTTTGCTATTGTCAATGGGGCAGTTTTCTTCCTTTCCCTGTCAGAGGATTTGTCACTGATATACAGAAATGCCTTTGACTCATTGAAGGATGAAATATTCTATATATGTCAGTTAAGTCTAAGTTGTTGATTGCATTATTGACTTCTGTAGTTTCTTTTTTCAGCTTTTGTTTGGACAATATATCCAGTGACAAGAGATGTATGTAAAGTCACCCAGAATTATTGTGTTGTGGTCTATTTGACTCTTGAACTTGAGAAGAGTTTATTTGATGAATGTAAATGATTCATTGTTTGGGACACATAAACTTATTTTTGTTATGTCTTGTTGATGAATGGTTTCCTTAAGCAATATGAAATGTTCTTCTTTATCCCTTTTGATTAACCTTGGCTTGAAGTCCAATTTATTTGATCTGAGGATGGACACCCCTGCTTACTTCCTTGGTCCATGTGAGTGTTATGATTTTTGCCAACCTTTCACCTTCAATCTGTGGATGTCTTTTTCTATGAGATGAGTCTCTTGGAGGCAGCATATTGTTGGATCTTTTTTTTTTATTATTCTATCTGCCAGTCTGTCTTTTGATTGGTGAGTTTAGATCATTAACATTAAGTGTTATTGTTGAGACATGATTTGGATTCCCAGCCATTTTTTTAATTTAACTTGACTTGGTTTTTCCTTTGATTAGTTTTTCCTTTAATGTAATACCTCCGTTTGCTGATTTTTATTGTCTTTCAATTCCTCTTTATGCAATATTTTGCCAAGGATGTTCTGTAGTGCAGGCTTTAAAGTAGTAAATTATTTTAACTTTTTTTTTAATCACAGAAGGTTTTTATTTCATCATCAAATCTAAAACTTAATTTTGATGGGCATAAGATTCTTTGTTGGCATCTATTTTCTTTCAGGGATTGATATATATTGTTCCAGGATCTTCTAGCTTTCAGGGACTGGTTTGGAAAATCTGCATATAATCTAATTGGTTTCCCTCTATATGTAATCTGGTTCCTTTCTCTTGTGGCTTTGAATATTCTCTCCTTATTCTGTATGTTAGGCATTTTCATTATAATGTGTCTTGCTGTGTATCTGTTGTGATTTTGTACATTTGGCATCCTGTAAGCCCCTTGAATTTGGTTTTCCAACTTATTCTTCATGTTTGGAAAATTTTCAGATATTATTTTATTGAATACGTGGCTAATTTCTTTCGTTTGGAACTCTGTGCCATCCTCTATCCCAATAACTCTTAAATTTGGTCTTTTTATGCTATCTCAGATTTTTTGAATGTTCTGCTCATAGTTTCTTACCATTTTTACTGTGTGGTCTACATTCTTTTCAAGATTATATATTTTGTCTTCATTGTCTAAGGTACTGTCTTTTAAGTGCTCTAATCTGTTGGTCATGCTTTCAGTTGAACTTTTAATTTGGTTTATTGTTTCTTTCATTTCAAGGATTTCTGTTTTTTATATTTTTTTAGAACCTCTATCTCTCTATGGAAGTAATAATCTTTTGCTTCCTGTATTTGTTTATGTAGCCTATTTTCAAACTGATCTTTTGCTGCCTGTATTTGCTCTTTTATATCATCCTTTAATTCGCAGAACATTTTAATCATGTACCTCCTGAACTTCTACTCTGTTGTTTCTTCTGCTGTGCTGGCCATGGACTCTAGCATTGTGGTATCTTGATGTGTTTGGGGCACTTTCTCCTCTTGTCTTTTCATATTGCACTGTGGATCTGAGGTGTTACCACTTTTAACCCTATAGGCTTATAATGCCTATGTAGGGTTTTGATACTTCTCCTTTGAGGTGAAGAACAATGCTAACAGATGTAAATACAACCAAATACAGACTTAAACCAAATAGCTGCTATGAAGACATTTACAGTTTGGTCACAATGTACAGAAATGGTGAATTCAATTATTATCTACAATATACTCAGTAGGCTTGGAAAAGGGTATACAGTTTCTCATGGTGGACAAAGAACTGAGGTGAGGAGTATAATGATATGCTGAAGAGGTAGGAGGTGAGGATATAGAGTTATTATATCTTAGGAAGTGTAAAAGAAAAATCTAAATAAGAAGATTAGTAGAAGGAGAAGAGTGAGGAAGTAATTTTGGGTAGACTAAGTAAGTGGGAAGACAGTTACTTTGTCTGCCCAAACACACATATATATAAAGAAAAATAAAAAATGTTAAAATAGTAAAAATTGGTGGAAAAAAAAGAAAGCAAACAGAAAAGAATATGAAACACAATCATAAAATATTCAGATATTATAGGTCTCAAAATCCTAATTCATACAAAGTACTTGGTTTCATATTTGTTGGGGTTGTGAGGACAGAATAGAGAGGGAGAAGAAAAAAAGAATTTTGAAGGAAGAAACAGGGAATGTTTTGGTTGGAGATCATTGTCTTTCTTGCTTCCCTTCCTATCCAATAGGTGTCAGCTAGTATCTCTGCCCTCAGGATGGTGAAGATAACCAGGGTGGGAGGGTTGGTCCTGGTTGGAGGGCACCTGGAAGTGGGGTGTGGGACCCATCAATCCCCAAAGGGAGACTGCACCTCAAGAATCTCTTTTTGGGACCACTCCCGTGATGTGAGCACCTGGTCTTATCTTCTTATCTCACCTAAAGTCCTCCCAGTTCCTGGTCTCTGTGTTAGTCTCTAAACTTTATCACACTCACCCTCTCCCTTACTACTTCCTAGTGAGTAGTAAGGGAGACTAAGTAAGTAGAAAGACTAGTGAGGAACCTTTGTCTTCGAAGCTCTTGGGCATGGTACTTTGGGTGCACTGAGCACATGCCCCGCTGAAAACATTTTTTGTTTTTGGCACTCACAATGTCTGGTTAGCAGCTGCTTGGGTGTGTGGGGAGTTAGAAACTGGGTACCTGGCCAGCTGGAATTCTAAACTGGTAGTTGCCTCCACTAAAGATGGTGATGAAGATGACTCAAGATGGAGGTGGTTGCTTTTAGCCATGGGGTGTGTCAGTTCGGGGTGGAGCGGGGGAGCTGGGTGATAGTGTTGGACAATGAGTTCAGAGATGAGCTCTGTGGTGTGCATTGTGTGGCTGTTGGCTGACTTCGGAGCCTGTGTAAAGTTCTTGGGTAAGGCAGGCTATTGCACATAGGGAACTATCTCCATTACTGTAGAGTCCCAAGATGGAGGCTACCAAGGGAGCCCCAGATTGATAGATGGGGGTTCACATGGAAGTGGTTGCTGGAGTTCTTGCATGTGAGAAGCTGCCAGGTGTCCTGTGAGGAAGCGGTGTCCATGATTTCTGCTCATGTGGGTGGATAAAAGTTCTCTGCAGGTGCTGATGCCAATGATCCCACTCGGTACCCAGTAGTCCTACATGGGTGAGTAGTTGGGAGACTTACTCTGAAGCTGAAGCCTTGCACCCTAGACGGGCATGGTGGCCATGATTCCTGCCTGGGAAGAGGAATATTGCTGTAGAGAAGTGCTGAGAGCCATAGCCAGTCGGAATGAGGCATGACATTTTTGCCAGAATGGAGTGGTTGAGAGGTGCCGCCAGCAAGCCATTGAGATGATAATGGTTACCTTAAGCTGTGTGTTCAATTGTATATTAGACCCCTGCTGTCCCCTCAGCCTGATACTTTGGAGTTCTCATACTACTTTGGAGTTTTCACGGGGATTCCCAGAGAGTTCCCATTGGTTGGGGAAGTGCGCGAGGAGGGATTTCTGGAGGAGGGATTTCCGGTTGGTGGTGTGTCCTGGGAGAAGGCCGAGTGCGTGGCGTTCTCGGGGTTCGTAAATAAAGTTTGTTCCTGCTTCAGTAGCTCGTGATTTGTGCCCAGCCAGACTGCAGCAGAGAAGCATTATTCTCACTACTTGAGTCCCAGGTCATGAACACAGAGAATTCTGCCTCCCTCTGACCAGCCATCTTGGATCCCCCCAACATCTACTCTTTTGACTCTTTCAAAAATATATAGGGCTGGGGATGTGGCTCAAGCAGTAGTGCGCTTGCCTGGCATGCATGCGGCCCAGGTTCGATCCTCAGCACCACATACAAACAAATGTTGTGTCTGCCGAAAACTAAAAAATAAATATTAAAATTCTCTCTCTCTCTCTCTCTCTCTCTCTCTCTCTCTCAAAAAAAAAAAAAAAATATATATATATAT